CAGGCGGGTCCGAGCGGCGCCGGCGAGGAGGATCCCGGACCTCATAGGGCGCCGCGAGCGAGCGGAGCGGCCGGCGGGGTGCGGAGCGGCGGAGCGCGGAGGAGTTCCCGGGGGCGGGGGGCGGGGGGCGGGGGGCGGGGACCCGGCGCCCAGAGACTCCCCAAGACTCGACCCGCGGGGACCGGCCCGGGCCAGTCGCGCGACGAGCGCCGCGGACACCCGGGTGGCAGTCGGTGCGTCCGCCCTCCAGCGAAGTCCGCCACCTGCCGCGCGCGCCCGCGACCCGGCTCCGGCATGGCGGACCAGGCGCCCTTCGACACGGACGTCCTCACCCTGACCCGCTTCGTCATGGAGGAGGGCAGGAAGGCCCGCGGCACGGGCGAGATGACCCAGCTGCTCAACTCGCTCTGCACGGCCGTGAAAGCCATCTCCACCGCGGTGCGCAAGGCTGGCATCGCGCACCTGTGAGTCGGGCCCCGGGTCGTGGGCCCCGCGCCGTCTGTCTGGCAGCCCGGGAAAGCTGCCTGGCAGGCAGGCGTTGGGTTCTCCTGTCCTGCTGCTGTCAGCTTCTGCCTGTCCGTCTGACATCTGAGTCTCTCCCTATCCGGCGGCCCCTCTCTCGGGACGTTTGCCCACCTGCACCCAAGCCCTCGTCCCCACTCCCTTCACCTTGGAGGGGCCCACCTGGAGGCGCACGCCTGCTTCCATCCTACCTTCCTCTCCTCTGGCCCGAGCAGCCTGCCTTGGCACCCCTCTCAGCCTTCTCCTGGTGAATCTGCTCGACCAAGGGCCGGCACTTGATCTGCCCACCGTAGCCACCCTCGCCTCCCGCCTGGAGGTCCGGGGTCCTCCTCGCAGTGCTAGTTCAGGTGCCTGCCTATCTCTGTGTCTTCTCTGTCCTCCTTCACTCCCTCGGGGGACCCAAGTCAGGCTTCTAATCCGTTATCTCCTAAAGAGACCTGTTGCGGGGAGTGGACCTCCAGGCTGGCTGCAAGGAAGCCAGCATTCCCAGAGGTCTTAGGCGCAGCAGTGCTCAGGGGGCTGGCCTTTTCTGGGAGCAGTTGCTGTGCTGTCCCATAAGCAGCGAAAACTCATACTGAGAACTTCAAAACCTCTACTCTTTTGCAACAATGGTGCTTGCAGTCCTAGCCCAATTAGCGAATGACGCAAAAGCTGTTTGTAAGTGAAACGGTTTTGAATGAACCCGGGAGTGCATACCAAACTTCAGTGTGCACAGAAATTCTTTGGGGGTTTTGTTAAGACATGCATCTTCCTTCAGTAGGTCTGGGATGGGGTCTGAGAATTCTGCATTTCTGAGCTCTCCTGGGGTGGGCAGTACCGATCTGAAGCTGCCCGTCTGCAGATCACATGGTGAGTAGCGGAGTCAGAGGGCATGGTGACCCAAAAGGCACCTACTTTTGTAAGTCACACAGCATTCTTGGGTTTGTGTTGGTGTGCACAAGTATTTTATAATTAACAGGCCCGCCACTTTAACTAAAGAGTGCCTGGGTTTTCAGATTGTCCATATTCCTTCCTCACATTTCCCCCATGTAAGAACACTATAAAAATGACACACGAAGTTCATGGCTGAGCTGAAAAACATAACACTGCTACTCTGGAATGCAGTTCTGCATTTTTAAAAACTCCCTTCCACCCTGCAACCTGGATTCCTTTTCTGGTAAGCTGTATGGCTCTGGTTCTGTAGTATGGGGTTGGTGGTACAAATTCTTATAAAGGAGTGTATGATTATATTTATTTTCAGATATCAAGCAGGAGCAGGCCTTGCTGGGAGAGAGGTAAGGACATATATGGTTAGGAAGATATTGACTTCATTACTGTCACCACTGGTTCTTCATAAAATAGGATTCTTTGCTTTAGGAAATACAAGCAGGTAAAATCTTACTTCAAATTTAGTTTACAACTAGTATAGGTGCTCTCAAAGGAAGTTTTTCAAAAAAGAGCTCGTGTCATTTCTGATGCGTGTGTGTGTGTGTGTGTATTTATTTATTTTTGTTTTGGTCAGGGTCTCACTCTGTTGCCTAGACTGGAGTGCACTGATGCAATCGCGGCTCACTGCAACCTTGAACTCCGGGGCTCAGACAATCCTTCTGCCTCAGCCTCCCTAGTAGCTGGGACTACAAGCATCTGCCACCACGCCTGACTCATGTTTTTACTTTTTTTAGAGGTAGATTCTCACTATGTTGTTCATGCTGGTCTTGAACTCCTGGGCTCAAGCAATCCTCCCACACTGGCCTCCCAAAGTGCTGGAATTACAGGCACGAGCCACCATGCCCAGCTCCGACACTGTTTTAAAAATGTGTCAGTATCTTTCACAGCCCCAGAGAGATGCAGAGAGGCATGATCTGTTTCTAAATGTCCCCCCTTTTAAGTAACCTTAAATAGTGGGGCCTCAGATAGTGAGATTTTGATAGTGCAGCCTGGACAAAGAGTGCTAATTTTGGCCACATTAGATATGTGTGTTTTTAGGCTAGATAGTTGCAAACACTAGGCTTTAACAATATTATTGTTATAAACTACTTAGTAAGTTGCCCTCACTGAGAAATTCAAGCCAGTCAAAAGAACACAAAGGAAACAGTGAAACTCACCCGTATTCATTCCCTGGGGTATCAACTGTTAGCAATTCATTGGTTATTTTCCCAGATAGTTCTTTATGCTCACATAAATTTATACATGAACACATATTCACATATGCTTATAGGTAAATAGCAAACAAAATGGGTCATACTTAACACACTTTTCTGCAGTTTATCATTTAGCACGATGTCATGAACATGCTTTGATGTCAAGATATAGACATCTACCTCCCTTTTAACTATTGTGTGGTGTTCCATTGCACAGATTTAGGAGGAGTCATTGAACTCTTTCTCTATTTTGGGGTATTTATGTTTTCACGGGTCTGGGGCTATTACAGTGTTGTACCCTTAGAACAGGTGTTGATGCCTGCTTGTGTGGGTAGTTGACAGGGAGGACCAGATGCTGGACTCTATTCTTGTGAGAAAATCAGAGTTTGCCTGTTCTCAGTGTGACTTGTAGTCAGGCAGGCAGCAATGAGACAAGATCTCAAGCTAGTCCCCAAATTATATTCATTACAGGCTTTGATATCCTGGATGAAAAGCCAGGATGGCTACAAAGAACTCATTAATGCGGAGGTCTTGATTGTAGATTTGCAGGAACCTCGCCAGAATTAGTTTACAGAATTCACCATGACGCCTCATCATGGAGACATCAGGAGTTTAAGCATGGAGCCTGTGCATTCTTTCTCTCTGTTAACCTAAAGTTGCTTTAATAGTCACTTTCATTGCTCCTAATAAGGTGTTTCTAGAACCACAGAGTTTTGAACTGAAGGAGAATCAGCAGTCAGCTAGCCCAGTCTCCTCCTTGTACAGATGAGGACAGGGAAGATGAGGTGACTTGGTCTGGGGATGAGGTCTCTGGAACCCCAGTTTAGGGCTCTTTTTGACACACCATACATCTTTTCTTTTAGTTTTTAGAAATTAGGTAAAGTTTGACAAACCCTAAATCTCATCCATTAATTACATTTTTTAAAAGTGACTTAAGATTTATATCACAAGGAACCCTTGGCTTTGACATGCATGCCCTGGAAGCCTTCTTTCTGTGCTCCTGACTCCCCTGCACCCATGCCCAGAGGAGAAGACCAGCAGATCCTAGCAAGTAGGAGCTAAAAAGTGAGAGTTTTCTGTTAGCAGCCTGTAAGTTGAGCTGATGAATTAATAGTTTATATGTCAAATTCAAGCATTGTCCTCTTTCTTAGTTTTCATTCCTTTGGGAGATAGCCATCCTCCAGGGACTTAGGCTTCTTTGTTTTATGGAGTCAGCTTGGAGTTGAATTCTCTTTGTGTATGTTTCCAAATCACTGTCTGAAGAAGTCATTGATTCCATTCAACTTAACAAAATGTGGCCAGACACGGTGGTGGCTGACACCTGTAATCCCAGCACTTTGGGAGGCCAAGACAAGAGGATTGCCTGAGTCCAGGAGTTTGAGACCAGTCTGGACAACATGGTAAGACCTCATCTCTATAATAAATAAAAAAAATTAACTGGGCATGGTGGCATGGACCTGTAGTCCCAGCTACTCAAGAGGCTGAGGTGGAAGGATTACCCGAGCCCAGGAAATTGAGGCTGTGGTAGCCATGATCATGCCACTGCTCACCAGCCTGGATGACAGTGGAGTGCAAAGAGACTTCGACCTTAAAAAAAATATTATTGAACCCTTACTGTGCACAAAGTTCTGGAAGAGATTGAGAGATAAGAATGACACCGAGGTTACACTGTGGGGAAAAAATAAGACAAGTGTAGAATTAGTTATAATGTCCAATAAAGGTTCTGAAAGATACTTTCATAGAGGTGTCCCAAATACAATTCAGTTGTAAAGGACTGTGAAGTCCCCAAGATGGGCATTTGCAGTGGGCAGTAAAAGGTGACTGGTCATAGACCTGATGGCCAGAGAGCGGCTCAGGTTGGGTGATCGAGTGAGGAAGGTCCCGAGGTGGGAAAGTGATTCTGAAAAAGTGATTCATTCAGCTGGACCACGCATGAGGTGCGTGTGGTGGGATGTTTGTGGATGTGAAAGCACAGGTGCATTGGGATGCTTTGAATGGCAAGGGTAAACACTTGATATCTGTTGGAGCGTGTGCAAAGAGAGTGAAGGTTTGTGAAAGGTTTCTGAGAGGCAAAGCGGCACGATTAGAGAGGACACTGTGACTGGAAGTGTAGAATTGAAAGAAGGAAAAGATGGGATATGAGGAGGCCAGCGGAGGAGGGGGAAAATCGGGAGGAGTCTGAGCGTGGATCGGATGAGAAGGGCGGCGAGGGTGGGTCTCAAAGCGCTGACTTGAGAACAACTGCGAACAGGCCTGTGCCATCAAAAAGCAAAACAACACAAAGACAGAAACAGGATTCTCAAGGAGGAGCTGGTTTTTAGAGGCTGGGAGAGGGAGAGAAAATGTTGCCCATATTTTGAAAATTTTGAACTTGAGGTGTTGGGGACCATCCAGTTGGAGATGCTTTCTAACCTACAGCTGGACTTGCCAGTCTGGCATTTAGGCATGAAGCACTGACTAAATATTTGGCCACTGGATTGTGGCACATTTGCTTCAAGGCAGAGAAAAAGGAAAGAAAATCTAAACTAGGGTTAGCAGGAATGTGCAAGGCTTAAGAGCACATTTTGGAGAGAGAGGGAGCAGGGCTTAAATTTCGAGCTCTGTCATTTAATTTCTGGGAGGATTTGGGCAGTTGATGTAGCATCTCTGAGCCTCTATTTCCCCACTTGTAAGATGGAGACAACTGTTTTTTCAACCTCAGCTATATGAGGATAAACTGAGTTCATGAATAGGGTACCAATGTCATCATTATTATTTTTTTTTTTTTGTAAACTGTTGTGTCTCTATTTTGTTCTTTATTCCTTAGCAGTCGCCTGCCTGTA